CTTCGGGGTCGGGGGTTGATCATACCCCGATAAGGGTTGTGATTATGATGTACGCAGCATGCCTATCTCATAACAACAAAATACGCCGTTGATCTCGGGTCGCTAGCTGCTTTAGCTCACGAGATACGAAATATCTGGTGTCTTCGGGGTTGGGGGTTGATCATACCCCGATAAGGGTTGTGATTATGATGTACGCAGCATGCCTATCTCATAGCAACAAAATACGCCGTTGGTCTCGGGTCGCTAGCTGCTTTAGCTCACGAGATACGAAATATCTGGTGTCTTCGGGGTCGGGGGTAGATCATACCCCGATAAGGGTTGTGATTATGATGTACGCAGCATGCCTATCTCATAGCAACAAAATACGCCGTTGGTCTCGGGTCGCTAGCTGCTTTAGCTCACGAGATACGAAATATCTCGTGTCTTCGGGGTTGGGGGTTGATCATACCCCGATAAGGGTTGTGATTATGATGGTCGCAGCATGCCTATCTAATAGCAACAAAATACGCCGTTGGGTTCGGGTCGCTAGCTGCTTTAGCTCACGAGATACGAATTATCTGGTGTCTTGAGGTCGGGGGTTGGTCATACCCCGATAAGGGTTGTGATTATGATGTACGCAGCATGCCTACCTTATAGCAACAAAATACGGCGTTTGTCTCGTGCCGCTAGCTCCTTTAGTTCACAAGATACGAAAAATCTGAAATATCTAAGAATAAGGGTAGTTAGCCCCCCATGAAGGGGGGGAATTTTGCCATATCTAACCAGCTTATCTTACAGCAACAAAATAGCAACAAAATATGCCGTTCATCTGATCTCTCTAACTGCTTTTGCCTCCGAGTTATCGCTGTGGTTTCGCTAGCGTAATATTACGCTAGCGTAACAGGCGTTTTTTGGAGAAATCATGGAGCAACAAAATCAATTCTTGCGGCACAAAATAGCAACAAATTAGCAACAAAATACTATATACCTTAGGATATGGACTTATGAAATTGTTACGCTAGGGTAATATACCTCTTATTATATGGAATACATGAAATATCCGTATATTTACAAGTACTAGTTCTACCGTGGCATCAATGCTGCAGAAACAGCTCGAAGGATTAATGATGTGTACGGCGCTGGTGTCGCAAAAGAAAGCACGGTACGTTTTTGGCTTCAACGTTTTCGTTTTGGAAATTTCGACCTTCAGAACCAACCCCGTGGACGGCCGGAAACCAAAGTGGCAAATGAAGAATTAAAGGCTATTGTGGAAGCGCATCCTTCACAAAGCACTTTAGAGATAGCTGTAGGCTTCGGGGTAAGTGACAAAACTGTATTAATCCACTTAAAGCAAATCGGGAAAGTAAAAAAACTTGAACGGATTCTCGAACGGAACCTCATGAATTGAGTGAATCGAACTTGAAAACACGCGTCGACTGCTGTGTTACTTTGCTCAACCGACACAATAATGATGGGATTTTAAATCGAATCATTACTTGTGATGAAAAGTGGATACTGTACGATAATCGGAAGCGCTCGTTGCAATGGCTGAACCCTGGAGAACCAGCCAAATCCTGCCCTAAACGAAAATTGACTCAGAAAAAGTTACTTGTGAGTGTTTGGTGGACTAGCGCCGGTGTCGTTCACTACAGCTTTCTAAAATCTGGCTAAACGATTACGGCAGATATCTATTGTCAACAACTGCAAACCATGAAGGCAGAACTACCTGCTAAACAACCAAGATTGGTCAATCGCTCTAGGCCACTGCTGCTTCAGGACAACGCACACACTGCATAACAACCACTTAGTTAGATGAGCTACAATTGGATTGTCTGCGACATTCACCGTACTCCCCGAACCTTGCTCTAACAGATTACCATTTTTTCCGGAATTTAGACAACTTTTTACAAGGAAAAAAATTCAACTCCGATGCGGCAGTCCAAACCGCCTTTAAAGAGTTTATTGATTCTCACCCCCATGGTTTTTTTAGAAAAAGGATCAATGAACTACCTATAAGATGGCAAAAGTGCATAGATAACAACGGTGCATACTTTGATTAATTAAATATATTTTACAAAAAGAAATTGACTTTATATTCCTCCCGTACAAAACGCCTGGAATTTAGGCATGCGTCCGATATATCAAAACGAATCCAAAATCCGATTTCAAACACAAATCGATACCGAACGATTTCTCAACAAGAAAATCCGATTTCAGAAATCTAACCGAACCAAAACGCTAGCGATCTAATACCACAAGTATCCAAATGTAAATCGGATTCGAAATTCGTGCTTTCGTTTTCGGAAGTCAGATTTCGTGCTCGGAAGTCCGATTTCGATTTGCTGTTTACGGAAATCTATTGCTCTTCTCTGAGGTGGGATTATTTATCACTGAAAAGATATGTCGTCTAAAAACATCAAAAGTCGAGCACCTTACATTTTTGGACGCTAACCTGAAGTAATTAGGTTTGATTTTGTAAATGGTTTGAAAAATAATAAAAACAAACAGAAAAACAAAAAAAAATACTAAAAAAATATGTAAAAAGAAATCATTGTATAAAAGCCGATTTTTAAATGCGCTGCAAAATTTTTACTCTTAACCCTAAACATAACTTTTCTGCTAGTCCTAAGCCTAGATTTAAAGCATGAAGGAAAATCGCGAAAATCTACGAGTATCCTTGCTTCCTACAATTAATTGTTTGTGATTGTCGTTAGCTAATAAAACCAAATCATAACACAAACTAGTGAATTGGCTAAGTTCGGCACATCTGAAATCGGATATCTAAAAACGGATTTTAAAATCGATTTTGAAATCTGAAATCCGATAAATATCCGTTTGCGTTCAAAACCAAAAACGCCCATGTCTACTGGAATTCAATAGTCATTTAAAAGGACCTAATATTTTAACAGGTAATCAAAAGGTCAGAGTTTGGATTTATAGGCTATCAAAATTAACAGGAATATTAAATTTTAAAAGAATAGGATAGATTCTTTGAGTCAAAGATTGGATAAAAGGTTTCACCTATACAAATACGAGTACAAAATAGAATGAACATGTAACATATAAGTTCTTTCCGGGATTGTTACCATGTACCTTCTTTAAAAACAAGCGCCATGATCACGGAGTAACCAGTTACTCCGTGATCATGGTGCTTGCAACAGCGCCGAAATATCAGAAACTCGCTAAAAACAAGGAACATGGTAACAATCCCGTAAATAACTTATATTACTATGTTAGTGACCATGAAACTTAAAAACAATAATGTAACAGTATACCTAACAGGTTGGCCTAACGAATCAGAGTGTGACTGATTGGGAATGGTTTAATTTCTTAAACCATTCCTTTCGGCCTCGCAACGTGTCATAGTGTGGTGTGACTGGTTGGGAATTATTTAAGAAAGATCTCCCAACGTGTTACAGTGTGACTAGTTGGGAATTATTTTACAAAGTTCTCCTAACGAGTCACAGTGTTACAGGTTACAGTGTGACTCGTTGGGAACAAACGAAGAAAGCTAAGAGATTTAGGTTATATAGCCATATATTCAGTAGCTTCATTATTTTTGTTATGTTTTTAATATAACCATATTTTAGGTTTTTAGTGTATCACGCCTTATAATTTTATTTATTTATTAATTTATAGTCGGGCAACGTAGGCCCATAGATAGATACCTTAAAGTCTAACATAAATACAGATTATAATGTGTTTATGGAGGTGTTTGGCGAAAAATTTATGGCAATGGACTTTATGATGTCGCCTACCATCTATAATAATTGTCTGAGCACATTCGCATGTAGTGAAAATGGTAATATAGTTGTGGATATTAATACCACAGTGTAATAAAAAAAAATTGATCTTTACAAAATAGATTTGTTTTTATGTTATATAAACAACTTCGATCAGTCTTTGGCTGTATGTTACTACACCCATAGCCATTAAAAATGATTCGTATGTTTTCCAAACCGGTAAAATTAAAAGTCCTTTTTAAAGTAAATATATTATACAAAGGTGTCCGTTGAAATCTAATGATTGTAAATTAAATTATAAATTACGCCAAGAATTACCGTGTCATATTCGTATGTCAATATTTTTTGTGCATTTGGGCCAATTTGAGCAATCTCCTTTATCGACATTCCACGACTGTAGAGTACAATACTAAATCTTTCAGAGAAATTCAGATTTTTTGATTGCAGGATCCGAAATATGTACCGACAAGTATTTTGTTTTGTCAAACAAATCCGACGATTAAATTTTATCTTTTTTGTTCAAAATTTTTAGAAAAAAAAACACACAAACAACATTTTCTTTACATTTAAACATCTAGCAGTTAAATGCTTAAAAAATAAATAATATGTTAATAATTTTACGAAAATGTAAAATTTAACACTACCCTTTTGTAAATTTGATGTTCTAGATATGTTTTACAAGAAATTACAGAACATTTTGGCATTTTTAATCTCTAACATACACTCACGCGACTTAACTCAGTCTAGGGAAATATCGAAGTGCAACTAGTTTTGTTCCGTGAACTGGCTCAATGTAAGCCTAACAGCGGGGCAAAATCGGCAAAGGGGAAACCTTTGAATGCCTAATGGGGAGTAGGCATTCAAAAGCCGCAATTCCTGGCCGCGTCGGCCGTGTTGCTCTATGTTTCAAACCAATCTCAACTCCTCTTACTTATAGATAGTAGCTACTAATGGCGCGATTACACTTGGTCGCTAGCCCGGATACGAGTGCCAATGGAATTCGGGTAAACGAATAAGTGTAAATGAACGGAGTCGAGCTCGTATTCGGGTAGTTTTCGTTTTGGTTACCCGATACCGTCTTCCAGCCCGTATTCCTGTGTAAATACTGCTTCGAATGCCCGAATTCGAGTAATGTCTTTCGTGCACTCGAATACGGGCTAACGACCAAGTGTGAGTGAGCCATTAGTGTAGCGAATTCCAATTGTATGGCAGCTACATTTCGCAAGGTAGACTAAAAATATATATAATAATAAAAAATATTGACACCTTATTTTACAGATTCAAATTTGTTGTGCCTGGAATGCTGCTTCTCCAAAGGAAACACTTCCGATATATGAAGATTCTTCAGAAAAATCTATAGCTGGACTTTCGTCCCAAGAAACACTAAAACAGCAGTTACTAACACAAATAGAAATAGCTCTTCTCGATAATGAACCAACACATTTAACAACGCAATTGCTATCTTATTTTGAAAAGATAGAAGATTACACGTTTCTAATAAATGCAGCTTCTAAACTTTGTCAACATAATCTTGTATACAAATCAATATTATATTCACTACAAAATAAAATGTTCCTTACAGGAAATAAGGATTTCATACACATTTTAACAGATCTTATTATTAAAGTCGATTTATTAGAGTATATTTCTTTCAAAGGTAATAAAAATTATGAAGGAGTAAGTTTTTATGAAAAGCAATTTGTTGAATTGTGTATAATATTTATAGAAAAATCTGACTTAGATTTAGCCTCTATTTGCTGGTTGAAGTATACAGAAGTTAAGCTGCATATTGATTCAGATAATGTTATCAGTATTTTGTCTGCAATACCATATAACATAAAAATGAAAACTCTGATAATGTGGTTGAAAAATTTTGCTCCATCACTCTTAGAAGAAAATCCGTTTTATATTGATCACTTTGTTAAATGGACTGTAGAAAGAGTTTTCAATTTAGAACACTCTGGGTATTGGCCCAAAATAGGGCTTAAATTTATAGAAGAGATAATTACAGTTCTAGAGCTATCTTTAAAAATGGTGTCAGTTCGGCCTATTTCAATGGATGAATTAGATTCTTTAAAGGATCAGATTAACTATATAATTGAACTCAAAGAAAATTATAAAATTAACATGTTATTAAGTGAACTAAGTTCGCAAAGCCCTAACGAAGTAGCCATTATTATGCTGCGCCGTTGTTACTCGGAAGATCTACAGATATTTTTACAGGGATATTTGTCGTCCTATTCTACCCGACATTTGTTTGAACTCGATGATACGTTACGTACATATATTGAAAGTGAAGCAGCTATTAGCGGTGGAGGAGTAGATGGATTTCGTTTAAAAATTTTACTAGATGCCTTTCGCTCGACCACAAAAAAACTTGACTGTCTGTTACAAGTTCTGAAACTGTTAGATGTGCCATGGGACTCTAATGTCTTACAATTAGCTGTAGCTGCAGCGTCATCATCTTCCAGGGATTTTACAGTCACAGACACAGATCGAACTTTGGCATTGGAAATACAGAAAGAATTCAACTTTGCAAAAGTTAAAGTAGTTTTGAAGAAATACAATTTTCCACTAACTTGCAGGGATTATAGTCTAGTTTTAAATAAAATAACGAGTTCTGCTAAAGTAGACTTGGATGATTTAAATATCATTTGTAATGTGACCAACATTATTCACTATGGAAGTGTACTGTATATTGATAAATGTCTCTCTAACTGTGAAACAAAAACGGCATTGAATTACTTTAATAATTTGTCCAGTAACAATAAAAAAATTATATTTAAAGCAATTTTAAACAAATATGAACAAATTGTAAATTCTGACTCGTCCGATTCAACAAGCGAAAAGAATTATTTAGACTTTTTGAAGGGTACCTCGCTTTTGTCCGATTATGAAATGATTGATATTGAAAATCTCTATATTCTCAAGAACTCTTTTAATGTCACCATGACCATTGACAACATCTACGATGAAAGTTCTTGCCAAAAAAAAACAAATGAATGGTTGAGAAAAAATGCCCGAATTATGAGTTCTGCTCAAAGAGAATGCATTACAAAACTCACACGCACCAGTCAGTCGAGCTCTTCTATTCTCCTAAACATGTTACGGCGAACTCCTGCATCTGACTCAGTGCGTACATTTTTAGAGAACTTGATAATATCTGCCGAAGATGCATCGAACAAACCAAATACATCAGCTTTATCAAGTTTTGAGGACGGTTGTAATTCTACACTATTAATAAATTGTTTTCATACTTTAATTGATCTAATATTTAAATGTGATGAAGATAATTTACATATTTTAGTAGGCTATTTATCTATCCTTAATGCTTTGATAAATGGCATTGTTATGCACAAGCATTTATCCGTAGCTTGGAAGTTTCAGTATATTTATTTACCAATATCGTCTATAACGAGCATGAACAATTTAATAAAATTCTTTGACTTAATGAAAACCCCTAAGTATTCTGTTACAGATGGTTATATTCTAGCAGACGGCTATGACTTTGTACCATTGAAAATGATTTCTTATTTGTTAAAATATTCCTTTTTAAGCGAAAATGCTACATCACAGGAAGAGCTTCATGAAGTGCAAGATAAAGTAGCAAGAAAATTACTATCAAAAGTTATTACATACCAAGAGCTTGATGAACTTATACTAACATCTTTATTGTTAATTCTTAGTAGTTTTGAAGGTGAAAATAATCAGTCGTGGCTGTTAGACATTTTAAGAGGCCAGAGTGACGTTATATCACAACCAATCAAAAATTATCTTTCGACACAGATCGTGCGCCGAATATTTCTCCTTGATGATGATTTGCCAGCGAACGTAGTTTCTTACCCACCACAACATATACTTAAAATTAAATTTAATATAAATTTGGAAGACATTGCTCTTCCTGACAACAGTGATGAAACCTGGGATGTCAAAGTTATACTATTTTGCGTTCTAAGACAGTACCCAAATACTGATTTTGATCGTTTAGTTGAATTGTGTCGTACTTTAGGCGTTACTATTAATGATGGTCTAACATTACAAATGATATCTTTGCTTTCGACTTGGGAACTAAAGTATAAATTGAACATTGATGAATTGAATTGTCGTCAAATGATATTTGAAAATGATGAGAAGAATCTTATTTCTAAATGCCTGACTATATGGGAGAACGTCGAGCGTAAAGATTTGTTAATAGATATTTTAACCGATTTTTGGAAGAATGGAGAGGTATCCTTATACGGTCGCTCTGTATCTATTAATCCTTATTATTATGAAGTATACATGTGTATTTATTATTTACTTTATGGTATTTCGGGAGAGTTAAGAAATATTAAAGAGTATCTAATTTTAATTTTTTTAAAAGATTACAAGAGAATAAGTACTCCCAAACAATATGAATATGAACTATTTTCAGTAAAAGGCATGTTTCCTGAAATTGGATACTATCGCTTACCTTTTCACCTTTTCATGAGAGATGATAAATGGTCAAACCTTAAGTCGGAAATAACTCTAGAAACCTATGAGCGCTGGTTACCAGTTGTCGGTCTGCTATCTTTAGATTCTGATTCACAGACAGCTAAGGATATGATTTGCAGTAATGCACTCAAGCAAACCATGACAACTCGAAAGCGCCTTGAAGGCAATGAAGAAGAAGGCACAGAGCCGTGGCGTTTAATTACTAGAGAAGAACCTTTGCTTCGCGCAGCTCATAAATGTGTACGACATATTGCCAATATGGAATGGGCAGGAGCTTGTTTGTTCTATGTTCTACAAGGCTGTGCTCGTGGGGCAGATCAAGTAGCCGCAGCTCATTTGTGCTATCAGTTTGCACAACGGTGGGCCGCTGTCCAACCAGGTAACCGCGCAGTGCGACAAATGGAGCGTTTGCATTCTTCCCTATCAACACGTCACGCATTACATAAAATTAATTGGGCTTGCGAAGAATTTATTCGCCTTTCCACTGAACCATCACAGCTGATTCGTGCTCTATATCTTCACCCTGCGTTTGTGGAAAAGATGTCACGCCACGACGTTAATCGTGCTGCCAATGAAATTGCTGATAAAAATGGAATAAATATAAGTTCTATTAGAATTCATTTATTGGAGAATATTCTCGAAAGAACTCATAATGAAAATTCTCGCAAAACAATGGCGGGCTTAAACAATAGAGAATTAAAAACTGCAAAATATATACTAAAAGCAACTTGCCCTAAAATGGGAGCTATTTATTTATCTCGTATAGCGTTTGACGATGACAGTGATCATAACAAAGGCAAAAAACTACGCGCTTTACAATGTTTAATGAGTGTTGTAGAAACAGATACTGCAGTTAAAGTTACAAATCGTGAACGTGAAGCTTTGTGGAATTCGCTTGTAGAATTAATACATATTGTTAGTTTAGAAAATATTGAAATGCCATGGGTCGTTGCTACGTTTACACAGGATAAATGTAGGGCAATTGAACTACTATTACAAGTTAGTACAAATATCGAAGCACTAAAAATTGCAGCAGAATTAGGACGGAAATATGGTAACATAAAAATAGTAAGCGATCTTTTACCTTTATTATTAAGGGCTGGTTTATACGATGAAATGACACCATTGTTATTGAAACTCTCTGCTCCTCCTAACGACTTCATTTATACTGCATGGCGTGCCGTCATTATCACTCCGTTTCAACAAGCTGATCATCCTATCACAGAACGTCAAAAAATAAAATGTGTAAATGCTATAAATTTGTTACCTGTATGCCCTGTTATCAAAGATGAAGATCTAGTAGAAATATGGAAAAATTGTGTTAGGTGTAAATGTTTTGGGGTAGGTTGTTTAGTTCTCCCTTACATGAGTACTCAAACTAGGCATTCATTAAGTGAACTACAAAGAATTGACAAAAGAAATTTAATAGCTAGTCTTAAAAACTTACATGCTGAGACTTATCTTATTTCTGGGGCTATGCATGTTATAGAAAATATGTCATTTAGAGGACAAAGATAATGTATAATTTACCATATGTACCCACTCAGATCAGTTGTGTATTGATTAAACATATTCGAGCATAATGTATTTGTTTCATTTATGAACTTTAGTAGGAGATCTACCGGTTTAATTTCCTGTTATTAACGCCTTTTGTGCAATGCACACGATTTAACAACCCTAGATACACCAACATGAACAAAATCGTGCCCGAAACCTGTCCAAAAGGTACATTGAACTCCGCGTATTCAAAAACAATATAAGGCCATACTTAGATAAATGATTGGTCTTGCTACGCTCGAGTCTCAGACCAAATAAAAAGTAAAGACGGAGTCTGCCGAACCAAAAAGTGAAGCCGGTTTTTTATGTATGTAGTGCATTAGCCAGTGTTACCATAGTCATATAAAACACCCCAATATTAGAAAAATGTAATAACGTTATTTCATAACGTTTTTATTACTTTTTTAATAACGTTATAAAATATTAGAAAAAAATATCGTAAGCTTATTCTCTAAACCTCTCGTGAGCCAAAGGTCATACGCCGTTCTCACCTACAAGTGCCGGACTTCTTTATGGACCGCCCGCCCGCTGGGTGGGAACGATTGCATTGTTCTGCCGATTTCTCTGTTATTTTGTAAAAATACCCTTCACAAACGTATATTTGGATTCTCCATAAAATTTTCAATAAAACAGTGTGTACACAATGCGTCATGTCTATAATTTATTTTAAATACATTATGGTAAACTCAGGAAAGATAATAAAAAATCGTTTAAATAGGTAAAATGAGGTGTATTTTCAAAATTTGTAAATTATAAATCCAGGTTTTTGTACATATAGAATGTACTATATATGAATGAATGTATATAATAACTTACCAAATACAATTATAAAATATAACACGGAACAGAAAAAAAAGGGTCGTGTTGCAAGTGTTGATAAAAACAAATGCGAGATCCAAGTGCCTTGATTTATGTGTTGACGCTTAATTATGTTGGATTGATTATTTTACTTTAGTTACAAGTCTCGGATGGAATAGGTTTGTTCATTTTATAGTTTGAAGCACTCGCAACAAGGCACTTGAAATCGCTTACAAATCAGTCATCTCAACTTTATGTCGATAAAACGAAAAGCATATACAAATGTTGATAAACAGTTTCTTTTATTAAAATGTACATGAAATTTTCTATAGAATACACAAAATATAATCACTAGTTCCTATACAAGAACATAATAAAATAAATTCACAAACATCGCGAATTTTGGGTCAAAAAGGCCATTAAAAAGTACAATACAAATAAAATTACAAATATATTATTATTTTACAAATCGTCGCTCTGAAAATGAGTCGAACAAACCACGCTGCGGGAAGCTGGTTGCCACAATGGTGCATTTCTACTCTTACGAATGACTGCAATCCACTTCTCTTTTAGATCTTGATCTCGATTAGGAAATCTTAAAAAGAACGTATATTAAATAATGTGTATTACATCCCAAAAAATTTATACGAATACATAAAGAAAAAAGATGTTTCGTGTAATTGTTTATCCATGCATTACAATATTCGAATAATATAAAAGTATGCCACACAATGTATATAATAAAATAACGTTACGTTATATTTCACGCTACCCAACAAAAGGGTAAAACTGTAACGAATAATCATGGCAACATTTCGTTCAGGTTTTGTTTACAAAGCGACAACCTCAAATTTGATTTTGATTAATTGAAAATAGCAGTTTATAACTTTACTTACGTATGAAATGTGATTCCATCCTGTTTTTTATTCTTGGAAGATTGGTTTTTACACGTTTTCACTACACAATTCGGCATTTTCTCTAATAAATATTGTTATTTATTATTACGTCACACTCCGCGCGTCGGGATAGCTCGACTGAGAAGCCAAGGCGTAGTTTCGTTGCATGTGTGTGCGTGTAACTGTGTATGTACACGGCGAGGCGTAGTTTTATCGGCTTCACTTTTTGGTTCGGCAGACTCCGTCTATACTTTTTATTTGGTCTGAGGCTCGAGTGTAGCGAGACCAATTCCGCGAATTTATTGACCTCCCGTTGGAGAATTCGTTGGACCTCCTTTTAGGTCAATAGGTGAAAAGTAAGGGAAAGACCATAGCCTTAGCCCTTAGGACAAGGGTGTCCGTGATGCTAGCGTACCCACGATCAATATACGGTTTTTCGTTATGCCTTAATGGCACTATTTGACACACTATTTATACATATAGAATAGATAACGAGAAAAGTTCATTTTCTTTGAGAACTATTATGGGTACGCCAGGTTGACGCCAGCTAAGAATGTTTAGTTCAATTATGAAATTTTGTAAAGCCAGGGCACTATTTGCGAACTATTTTTGTGTGTCAATTTTGTTGCTTAAATATATGCCGTTCTTGGGGTCGGCCATGGGTACGCTAGCTTGACGTCATGGTAGCGTACACAGTAAAAATGGTCTTTATTTCTTAAATTAAAGAGGCACAATTTTTTTTATTTTTACACTAATTTGGCACTATTTACGCAGTATTTAATGGCATAACGAAAAACCGTATATTGATCGTGGGTAAGCTAGCATCACTGACACGGACAAGGTTATCTAGCCAATTAGAAGTGTAAATCTTAATTTATTTAAATAACTTTATTTTCTATCATTTGTGCTCTCACATAGGCATTACATGTAAATGCTGCAGAACGTATGACTGATGCTGCAGGTAATACCATCTCAAATATCGGTCCATATATTCCATGACCCAGGGCGAGTTCTTTTGGATTCTCGTCTGAATTGTTAGGTTTGTCTGCAATTTCCATTGTGTCTTCCCGAAACAGTAAAATGAGTAAAGTCGATTTACAATGGCTAATAGCAGCAGCCAAATGCATCGGTGTCTGTTCTAAAAAGAAAAAATAACAAGGTTCAATACTCTTTTAACATATTTACAGATGGTCGAACCACCACGCGGAGCTGTTAATTTTAACACCTATAATAATGTTGTCATTCACTCACACCGACTATCTTATTACGAACATGATTGCGAGCCCCACTCCACTACGTACTGCTCGCATCTCTATTGCGTTAATTTTATTCTCGTACTTCTTTGTAACATACTAACTCGCGCTTTCGAACATTAGCGTTGAGACATTGTATATGTTACGCTCAAAGATCGAAAACGCTCAGTGAGCGGAAAAACAGTTCACAACGCGTTGTGGTCACAGTAAAACATCCACATGGCGAAATTCGTGTTATGGCTCTAATGAAAACGCGCAAGACGCGTTGTGGTAATCACAGAAAGACCAAATAGCGAAATCCGTGTCGTGGCTGATATGCTATTCGATCTCAACGCGTTGTGGCAATGAAGAAAAGCCATGACGCGTATATGGATCCTACTAGTATTTTTTTGTAAAACCTGGGACTTCCGGTAGTAAAAGATTTCGAATATCTAATCATCAGCCTATTAATGTCCCCACTGCTTGGGCACGAGTCTTCCCTATGGATGGAATAGAGAGATTGGGCCGTGACCCACCACGCCGGCCCAGTGCAGCAGTCGCAGCCAGGATCAACGAGTTAACGTGCCTTCCGAAGCATGGGGAGCTCCCCCGTTAACTTTAACTCGGAACGTTAACTTCGGAAGGCACAAAGCAAAAAACTCAGCCAATTTACCTTGTCTGTAATTTGCAGTACCTCGTTGTACTCATTTGCAAATTACTCCGTCCCATCTACAAGATAAACTTCATAATAGTCGAACCTTTCAGGCGGTTTAAGTCGTTCTCGTCGATTTCTGAGGTTGTATCTAGGATATCAAAGTACAGTGCATGCGAGATACTTTGGACACACAGCGGCTGGACAAGTATAAACCAAGAAGAAACGGGAGAAGGAAAACAATCAGGCTTTGGACCACATTTCCGAATGGGGTATCAGGAACTTGGTCGAGTTCAATGCCAAGAAAACCCAGATTTGCGCTTGTACGGCAAAAACATCGCCATTTCTTCCCCTTCCCTCTCTAAAGGGCACAACACTGACGCTACAGAGCAACATCACCAGGCTCGGTATGGAAGTTCGCTCAGACCTGAATCCAAAGGACTACATCGAAACCGTGATAAAAACAGCTTCACGCAGACCAGATATTTAGGAATAGTTTAAACTTAAATTCTATTCTATCCATGTCTACGGTGATAAAATATATTATTAATGATATTAATTTTTGATACAAATAAATAAATGAATTTGAGTTTCACGCAAACTCGGAGTCCTGAACAAATTGCGGCATTTGTGCTTGTTGTACAAAACGCAAGTGCGTGGAGGTGGTGGCGGGTGTGGAATATTGCTCGCACCTCTGGGATGGCTCCGCTAAGTAATTAATCGATGCCTTGGATAGGTTACAGTGGCGCGCTGCCCGCATCATTGGCGGCAAAGAGGTAACTTACAAACTCGAGTCTACAATTACGCCGCGATGTGGTATCATTAAGCGCATTCTAGCGACTATACCACGACGAGTGTTCTGAGAAGTTATTCTCCCTTATTCCTCCATCACCTTTTCTTCAGAGGACCACGCGAGCTGGCCTACGTTGTTACAGACTTCCTGTGACCATGAACAAAGAAATTTTTTGTCGTACTATTCGGAAGTGGAATTATTTGCCTACGCACGTGTTCTCCGCTTCCTACAATCCTTTAATTAAAAGGCGTGAAGAAGTATTTCTGCAGACCGGCAAGGTGAGGACGGTTGGTGTGGCAGTTAGCATCTGGACTTTATCACCACTTAACATCTGGTGGTAACATCATCATCAGGGGTAGTCATTTGCCTACCTGGGTATAAAAAAATCCTCGCTAGGTTCTTCCGGCGTAAAAATACTCCTAGTTGTCTCGATCCTGGATCATAGGAATCTGCATAGGGCTATCTTCCTCTTGAACGTTATTTTCTTTTAATTTACCACTTAAGAACGTTCATGTTCGTAGTAGTTATGTTACACAGTCAGGTCATAAGTATTGTCACACAGTAAAAACTTTTCTTTTAGAATGCTGGCCACAAAAAAGTTTATTGAATTCCAAACGTAATCTCTCTTGTACGAACAGTCGTGATACCATCCCATATGCGATAACCATAATTTAATTAACCAATCAGTATACCCTTTAACGCCTTCTTACTTAACTTGTTGCGCTTCTGGAAGCGCACCTACTTAAAGTAGGTGCACTTAGCACTTCCACTTGTGCACGTGCACACTTCCTATAATCCGAAGGTGACTAATTTTGGGATTCTTTCCATGCCACAGTTGGTACGGTGCCGCATCATTTACTCGCGCTGGCCTGGTTCTGTTCAGTACTTAGGCAGCTGTTTGGATAAATTCTGCCCTTTTATTATGGACGTGGCAGCTTCAACTAAGGTAAGGTTCTTACCCTCGCTATAGCCGTTCTGCTCGGGAGTGTACGACATCGTCAGTCGCTGTTGGATGCAATGTTTGTTCAGAATGTCTCTAACTGCTTGGTTGTCGCATTCTCCGCCATTGTCACTAATTACTAACTTGCTTGCTTGACTTGTTTCATTTAGCATAAGCTGTAATTTGTTCTTCACTTCAGATTTGTGTCTAATGAAATGAACCATACGATAGCCGGAGAAATATCTTTACACAACACATGGTAGCGAAATTTAAAGAAACTATTCATGCTCACTGCTCCATTATGAACCAGCTGTACTCTTGACAATGTTCATTGGACCTAGAATTGATCACTATAATCAAAGTCACTTGTTAATCCTGATTTCTGGTTGCTCCAGAACTGCTTGGTTTCCCATCTTTGATCCACTTCCTGCAGTTCTTCAGTCTAAATCCTGTCTTGAGACAGTAGTTGCATACCAGTTTCGTCCTTTTTCTTTGGTTTCTGCACTGTGACTAGTTTCAGTCTTCATAGTATTTTGTCCAAGTGCTCTCTCGTAAGCACAATGTTGGCTTGTCAAGTTTTCAACTGTTCGATCATTATTATTTAACAGTTACCAGATTTGAAAGGAAAATATTGTGCATCTAGTATTTTGCAAATAAGAAACAAATCGGGGATCTTAGCATTTGTATCTATCTGTTTTAGCCATTTCAACATTGAGATTGTTCCAGATGTTTTTTAATTTAGACATGATAGTCGAAACATAATTTTTGTTAGATTTCATAAAACCAAAGAAATCCATAGATTGTAAGCTCTGTCCTTTCCAATAATCTGTGGAGCTTTTGTCATACATCATGCGCAATTCCAATACTCATTACTTTCATTCATGACTCTCTGTTGCTCCTGACCCAAGCACTGACCTCTTCAGCCTGTCATGGACTACCTCCATGGCATTCTCTATACCACCTAGCATTATGGATACCTTACACTTCCCAGTGGCCCAGTTTGTTTTTCCTTCTGAACTCCCAATTGAGACTACTTGAAATGTTCTCCATACTGAATTTCAAATCTTCGTCAGGTCTGGCTGGTCCTTAACCTGTTATGTATGCACTTGCCTCAGTTCCTCGGTAATGTGAAAGCAAAAGATTCAAATAGTAATAGTAGATAAAATGAATAATAATGATTGATAAATGTATACTGATATTTGATCTGTCAAGTTAAAAATATCAGTATATCAAGTTAAAAAACAAAACTGTATTCTAATTTATAAATTATTTTAACTGTTATTTTTATTTTACTTTCAAATCCATAGAGATCACTAATTCACTACTAATCAATTGTCCAAAAAGTATTAGGTACTCAAACATTGTAAAATACTGTGATATCTACCTCCATCTGAAACTGCATTTGGATCAGCCCCTGCAGCCAATAGTCTTGCAGCAGCCTTGTAATTATTCCAGTTACAAGCAGAATGTAAAGGTGTCCATCCAAGTTCAGTTTTGGAATGAATGTTTGCACCTAGACTTAACAACATAGAAATTGTAGAGGTGTGGTTTCCATAGGCAGCACGGTGAAGTGGTGTGTAGCCATCTGAATCTCGAGCATGTACAAGGCCAGGTTGATTAGTTAATAAGTCTTTCAGAGTGTCTACTTCACCATTTTCAGCAGCCCAAAGCACATGATCAACAGGGTTTGCTGTAACATAATTAACCATTTTGGATATTTAGATTTAATAAAGAAAAATAATGATATAGATTCATATGAACTAGTATGTTTTTCGTTGATTTAATTAGTTCTAACGGCTGCCTGCCACTTCTATTGTGTTAACTTAGGTTTTTAGAGAATTGCTCAGGAACCTTACATTTGTCTGGGAAAAGAAGAATATTAAATCACAATTCAGGTAAATAAACTATGTGTGCCAAATTATATCCGAATCTATTCAGCCGATTTTGGGTGATTGAGTCACAAACTATCACATTTTTGGTAAACAAATGATAAAGTTCGCGTTCTTATGATGACGTTAGTATATTTACTGTGAAAGACTGTGGCAAATAAAAACAAAGTTAATAACAATATTAATTAAAATTGAAATAGGTAGGTAGTAGTTACAGAACATGTAAAGAAAAATTTACAAAAGATGTATAACATAATCAATTATAATTGCTATAGGAGAAAACAATCTAAGTACATAATTACTCCTTAAATATATTCTAGAACAATAAAACTAAAAACCTTAAAAAATAAAATTAATAACTAAAATATATTATTAAAAGGAGATACTTCATGCAAGGATCCGAAGTTACTGGCAGCGTTACCCCTTTGAATGGCTAGACTAATTCTTTGTCCGAGGTAGCTGCCAGCTCTTTGGTCTCCTGTGATGTCGACTAACCTTTTTGTTATTTCCTTAAATAGCCTTAAAGCTCTAGGACCCCACAGACCAAGGGTAAAAAGTATTTACAAATGAGATCGGTTCGCTACAACATGGTTTTCATCAGCCCTAAACCTAGATTAACAGTACATAATCAATTTCAATTAAAGAAATAGATTGAGGATTTTATTGTGTAACTAATACCTTTTGGATTCTTTACAACATCTACATCTTGATCAGCGTCATCCCACCCTGAAACAAACATGCCAGATGTTTCCGGGTTCCTCTTGCATTTTTCAATTTCCGCTTGGATTTCTTTAAAATTATTTATCTCTGAAATATCGTCTTCCGAATCAGACATTTTTGTACTTTTTTTTTAAGTTTTACGGCCGTGAATTTCTCCATTATAGGCAGTGCTGCCAACCCGAATTTTAGAAAATTAATAGATTATGTGCCAAATGTTGGTAGAAGTTGGTAGAATGTAAAATGCAAAATTGGTAGATCTACCACCTCAATTTTTTAAGATTAAAAATGCATGCAATGCAATGCAGAGCACACTTCAGATCACACCTACATGATTTGCAATAAAAATATCGTCACCCTTAGTAATTTTTTGAAGCCAACCTGCAAATCCCTTGTTTTTCTCCCATAATTTCGAATATTTTTGGTCATGGTGCCTTTTTTTAGGTTTTCGTGGCGGAGTTCCTAACCTAGATCTATGTGCATCGCTTTCGCTGCTGTCAGAATCCATTATATAAATAAACTAGTGGCCCGCCCTCGCTACGCTTCGGTGTAGAGCTGTAGTGTAGACTATAGTTTTTGTTGTCAGGCTTGTATTATACACAATGACATTCTTCTAATACCTAATTACAATAGGCACGTGCCGCCAAGCCCCCCGCCCGGTAGCGTCGGAACCGCTATGTCCCTTCATTTTAAATCTGTAATATCTTCGAGAATATTCACTTAAATCATACGGTGTAAAGGGCCATATAGATCTATATTACATGAACAATGTATTCAAGGTATTTAATTGGTTAAGGATTAATCACGGACTTTTCTGTAGACCTTTTCAATGTGTACAATACTTAGTACATTATTTTGATAAAACTCGTAGGGTTCAGCCTGCGTTTGCAATGTAAGCGGAAAAAATGTAATTATTTACGACATCACATTAGAAACCTCAAAAATAACAGTACTTCTCCACTATTTAATGGATGTTATTATACATATAAACCTTCCTCTTGGATCACTCTATCTATTAAAAAAAACCGCATCAAAATCCGTTGCGTAGTTTCAAAGATTTAAGCATACAAAGAGACATAGGGACAGAGAAAGCGACTTTGTTTTATACTATGGGGCTGTCCATTAATCACGTGAGGCTCGAAAGGGGGGGGGACAGGGTCCATAAAAATCAGGAAATATCACAAAGGGGGGAGGGGGGGTTTAGTAATATATCACGTGTATTTCCGTGTCCGAGGATACTGTACATTCAATTCATATTCATTTATTGCATCTTGTTGTATACATAGGTGTTACAAGTATGGTTAGGTTGCAAACAAGAGCCCTGTAAGGGCACGGCAAATTTATAGATTATTATTACAATTAAATATTTTATACAAAATTAAATCACATATCTTAATAATATTATTTATAAATTAATAGTAACATTTAAATACAAAAATAGCTTAACAGATTACATTAATTAATATTATGGGTTTATGTCATGTTTATTTATTTACCTAACCTATTTTTTCGTCAATGTATTCGTTTACAGAATAGTAAGCCTTATTGATTAGAAATTTTTTAAGATTACTATCAAATTTACTTCCCTGGAGGGCTTTTAAGGAGTTGGGTAAGTGGTTATACAACTTGATTGCCATAAAGAAAGGCCCTTTTTTAATCAGATCAAGGTGTGGAGTTAACTGACATAAGTTGTTTTCTCGGCGAGAAGCGTAGCGTCGAGGAAGGTCAGTTATTCTATTAAAATAATGTGGGCTGGTACGAACTAATCTACAAAGCTCGTAAATGTACAAACAACTGACCGTAAGAATCTTTAGGCTTACAAACAGTGGTCTACATGATTCCAGAGATGACAGGTTGGCGATCACCCTAATGCAGCGCTTTTGCAAAATAAATGCTTCCTGGACATCGGCTGAGTTTCCCCAAAATATGATCCCATATCTGATCCAGGCTGCAGCGTGCGCATGGTATGCAGTCAACGCGCACTGAGCATTTGTACATTTACGCAATTCATATAGGGCGTACGTGAAACTGCTAAGTTTATTAACAACTGTACTCACGTGAGGTTTCCAAGACAAGGTGGAATCCATGGTAATGCCTAGTGTCACAAATGTATCGACTACTTCTATTTCGTTATGTTCAAATGTAACATTGAGGGGTAGTACTGATCTCTGGTGCGGTCTAAATTGCATTATTTTAGTTTTTTCCAAATTCAGTTCTAGACCTATTTCCCGCAGATGTTTGGCTATTTTATTTATTGATGATGTTATTTCATCGCGTAATCTATTTATGTCATTGTAATCGCCAGATATTATAAGAGTGGCATCGTCAGCAAATTGTACGATTTTGTGTGGTGTGGCACGTGACAGGTCATTTATATACGCCAAAAACATCAAACACCCTAGCACACTACCTTGAGGTATCGATCCTGAAAGTGTATAGATTTCGGAATTAACATTTTCCAAAATACCTTTATTTGAGTGTGCAATTTGTACAAATTGCTTTCTGTCTTTTAAGTAAGACGCTAACCACTTAACTGTATTTCCACGAATACCTAGTTGTTCTAACTTTTTTAAAAGTACCTCGTGCAGAACACGGTCGTATGCCTTCGAAATATCCATGAAAACTACCACAGCACACTTATTTTCGTTTAGTGCATTCAGAATCTCAAAGCTACAGTCGAGCACCGCTGATGTCGTAGAGTGTTTCTCTCTAAAACCATGCTGATTCTTATTAAGCACCTTGTATTTCTCAAAAAACCTGTAAATTCGTTTACATACTATTTTTTCAATAATTTTTGATATAACTGATAGTATGGCTATGGGACGGTAATTGACTACTTTAGACTTATCGCCTTTTTTGAAAATGGGTACAATTATAGCTTGTTTCAAGCATTGAGGAAAAATTCCTTGTTCATAGGATTGATTTACTAAGTACGTTAAAGGGAATACAAACTCATCCACACAATGAATTATTAATGTGGCCGGTATGTCATCGTATCCGCATGTATTGTTCCTTTTTAGGCCCAAAATAGCCTTCTTTACCTCTGCCTCAGTGACAACACAACAATGATTTTCATGTATTAAAACAAAAAGTTTTTCGCATTTCTTTCATTATTTTTATGTCGGGCAAAAACAACCTGCAACCTTTATGTTGCAATTCGTCGTTATTAGTTAGTTATTATTGGGAGTCTTTAATTTTCTATAATAAAATTAGATGATACTTATACCTGTATTTCATAAATATTAAAATAAAAATAAGATTTATTGTTGGTAGTAAAAAATACACGTGATATATTGGCAGGGGGGTGGGGGTAGTCTTAAACCTCACCACGTATCACCAAGAGGGAGGGAGGGGTTAAAAAATGTCAAAAAAACATCACGTGATTAATGGACGACCCCTATGTAGTGATGCACGCAACATAGAACAAACAGCAATTAGCACAGTTAATACGCAGTTAAATAGATTTTACAATAAAACAGGAGCAATAATTCAACATTGATTCCGCAACAAACCAACCGGGAATAGGCCACAGTAGGAATAGTAAAATATGGGCGCAAAATTGTGCGAACTCATGGCGAGCTGTTGCTGACGTTTTTTTTTGGTTTATGGCCTGGTCTCTATGTATGCTTGACGCATCGTTGCATGGCTCACGTAATACATCGCAACGTCGCTCGTCGATATAAATATAATTCAAAGTGGTGATATGTCAAACTAATTAAAAAATAGGTAGTTTTTAGGTCTAGGGTGGTAGATAGGTAGACTGAAGTGAAAATTGGTAGATCTACCAAAAAGTTGGTAGATATGACAGCACTGATTATAGGATAGGTATTAGTATTTTGTAGGATATGTGGCAATTGGCTGGATATTCTGCAGTTATTGGTATCGATTCTGACATGATTCCCTATACCTAAATTTAACACACGGACTTACATATTCTAAGTTTGCGATTTAACTTCATTCCGTCTCTCCTTTTTTAATTTAATTTTAGGTTTAGAGAACCATGCCAGAATCGACTCCACTGTATGGGTACGGCCAGAGTGCACTCAGATTCAGACTCAGAAAACAAGCGCGAGAAATATATAGTTTAAGCGGGTTGCCTGCTGCCACTATGGCCACCCTGCTTTAACTACACTATTTATTTCTCGCGCTTGTTTTCTGAGTCTGAATCTGGTTATGTTAATTCTAATATATAAATTAAGAAACAAGAGTAGATCGCAAAAAGAAGCAAGGCACTAAATGTTTGTTTATAACACAACCAAGAAAAAAGTTACTTAAACAACTATAACCTGCAGTTAGGGTTACCAACTTCAGCAATATAGGTTTGCATTTTTGAAGCGTTACTTCTAAAAATATAGTAGCAAAAAAGCTTTTACTGTCAAAAATATGCTTTAAGCAAAATATAGTAGTTACGCCTACTATATATTTTTTTATAATATATTTTAAAATATGTTATCTTACTACCTAATATACAGTTTGTCTATAAAGTCGTGACATTAAATGATGGCGCCGCTATTATGCATGTAGCAACCCTATATAGTCTGACCAAAATGATTTTGATACTAGCAGTTCATTCAAGTAAAATAGGTAATTAAGACACACTATACAGTAGTATTTTGTTTCTGTTTCATATATAGTAGGTACCTATGATTATTAAAAGTTTAACCAAGCATATTTAATTGAATCAGAATAAAATTATTATAGATAAAATAATACAATATAGTGTACAAGTGTGTAATGTTGGTGATTACCGCTGAGGTGCCATCACAGACCAATAAGAGAACAAGTTGGTGCCATTAAGACCAGAGCCGTTAGGTTATCATCACGTCGACGTTTTTTAACACGCTTGTTAAGAAAATAATAGTAAAAATCATTTTATAGTATACATATAAAAAGTTTATTTAATGTGCAGTAAGTAAAATTAGTGATAGGTATCTTCACTAAAAGCATCTGGCCATGGTTCTCTGTGTGACCACTTCTTTGTTTGGTCGGCCTTGCTTGTGTTTACCAGAAGTTTCAAACTTTCCATCATTCTTGAAACCTTCGTTGACTATCCGCCTAACTGTACTCTTCGATTTTCCTGAAAAAAAGTAAAAAATGTGTAATGGAATAGAAACAATAACTTATTGACATGAAGTAATTAATTCAAAATTGGTAGAAA